ATTATTATGATACAATATATTTATATATTTTTATGTATTAATTCACATTCACAGTATATTGAATACATTCTAATACTAATGTATTTTATTTGTAGTTTATTTAATATATAACATATTTAACGTATTATATATAGCTTATTGATTTTTATGTTTACGTTTATCTATACTAATGATCAAATACATTTGAATGTACGGATAGAAAAAGAAAGACTTGCGAAGACAAAGATAAGAATCAAACGAGGCAAGCCTCATCTGTGTGTACACGTGATCTTTCATCTAGTACGCGTAGAAAAACATTTAAGGTAAATACCGCCTTATAAGGTAAATAGGAGGGGTGAGGTGACTCGACTACGTCATCATCTCACTTTGTTTCCGGACGGCGGTGTGACAGGTCTCAACTAGTTCCGCTCCACGTAAGTAATTATTACTGTCTAATTAAATAATATTTTATTACAGAATTTGATATCTAATTAAATCTCATTTGATTTACAGATTGATGCAGTCATAATCGATGGTGTGAATGCATTGAMATTAGGTAAGATGATCTGTAATTAGAATTATATGATTTTATATTTTTCTATGGTTTCACACAAATTTTTACCATAATCTGTCATTCTGTTTATGGTTTCAGAAAGGCCAATGCAATCATCCCATTGTTTCAAAAAGCCGTTCAATATCGTTTCTTGGAAATTATACTAATCAATGGTGGAATACTGGTACAACTGCATACATATACGTGCAGGTACATTTATTTATTTCCTTTCTTTCATATTAAAATGGATCTTCGACGCAGCAACCTCCCCGTGGTGAGATCCGGATTAGATTAAAAAAATAAGGAGTCAGAACAGTACGTTTTTCGATATTTGTAATTCAATCAAATATCTACGTGGAAGCGTTTGAATGTTTGCAGTAATTTGAGAATGTCAATCGGATGTTCAGGTCGATTTAAAACGATGTTCATGATTTTTCATCCAACTTGATGAAAAAATGTGTAGCTCGTTTTTCGTGTTGAATTTATACTAATCTAATAGTAAACCATTTAACGCAAGTACTACCAGGCGAATGGCTGTGCTAAATTCAATCTAAATTTATTTACACGTTTAATTATTATTATTCACTTGTTTTTGGTTCTTTTGATACATTGGTTCTTTTTCTTTTCAAATAATTAAATAATTTATTAAAAAATCACATTTGTTTTTAAATATCAAATAAATATTTCGAGTATGTTATCTACGTGTGTGCAGATATTTTAAATTAATAATTAATAATTTAATTAATTTTTAATTTAATTAATAATTAAGTTAGAAAGTAAACTTGACTTCTAAATATAGAATTAATGAGAAATAAGGGAGAAATAACTGTTTAATTTAAATAGGACGAAATGGTTGGGAATAAATTAATTACGATAATAAAATATAAATGCTATCAGAAAAGATATAATAGCTTTAAAAAACGACTTGCTTTTATCAACTAACTTTACGAAGTTACTTAACTTACGAAATGGACATTGTTGGGCAAGCATTGACTTTTTCTGCATATATTTTATTATATTATTTATATTATTTATAATATGTGTTTTCTATACATATCTTTTTAATATGCATACGTACTAATTAACGTGTAATAATCGGTTGCGAAGGTTAGTAATTATTGCATATCTGACTAATTTCCAGTTGATCTCGTCGTCGTTGCAACGCCATTTTGGTACATTTTCGGAACGCCATTGATACGGTGTCAGAACGCCATTAATACGCTGTCGGAACGCCATTAATACGCTGTCGGGACTGCATTGATACGCTAGTGGAGAGCCAATGATACGCTAGTGGAGAACCAATGATACGCTAATGGACGCAGTTGATACGCTATTGGTCCGCTATTGTCGGACTTCATACAGTGTATTCCAATAGCCCGACGAAGACAAACAAAATAAAATGTAATACTGTAGGTGTGATTACAGTGTCTTAATTAATATGTATTATATAAAGAAATATTATGCGAAAAGAATACAGCGGCGATGAAAATAAATAATTAAAATCACAATCATTTAGAAGGTAATAGCAACAATATTGTGTGTGTGTGTGTGTGTGTGTGTATAAGTAAAAAAGGAATATCATATTACTTTAAAGATATATTTATATTTATAGCATTAATAAATTAATGCTTTTACCGTAGGTGTTTAATTATTTCGTTGAAAAAATTAACAATATGTGTTTCATTTCACGATACAAATATTTTGATTTCTATTAATATGAAATTAATAAATGGTGTGAAAATACTTTATAATATAGTATTTAAATGAAAAAGTATATATTTATATTGAAAAAAATATACATGTAATTTAATATAATTTATTGTAATGAAAATATGACATTTAATAATACAAATTTGAATGAGAAGCTAGATTAAAAAGATGTCCATATACTAATATATCTGTATCAAGTCAAACTCAATATGGAAAATGCATGAAAGATTTAAATAAAAATAAAATTTACAATAAAAGGAGAAAAATAAAAATGGCAGAAGGGAAGCTCGAAAAGGATACAGATATATGATTTTTTTTTATCTTTTCTATTAAGTACAATAAACAATAGCATCAGCAATGGTATAATAATAATATTAAAAATAGTCATATTAATAATAATGTCGCAAAGAGAAAATTATATTAATAAAAATAATTTAGTAAAAGCCGTGTCTTCCAGGATATTTCTTTCTTTTCTTTTCTTTCTTTTTTACACGCACGCACGCAAAAATTCTATCGATTCGTATACACTTAAGTTGACGAAAAAATTAATATAATCTCAACGAAATAAAGGCAAAAAAAAAATATTAACCACTTGCGCTGGCGAAACAAAATTCAGCGACGCGTGCCATGCACGTCTTTCCACTGCAAGTGGTTAAAAAACAGAACAAAAGCTATAGAACTAAGACATTGTACGATCACTATATGTATAAAGTCTACATGAGTATAAAAAAAGATGTATCTCCGATTTATTTTAAATTTACAATGTAATTCTCATCAGTCACAGAGAAAGAAAGAGAGAGAAAAGGAGAGACGGACAAAGAAAAATTTCAAACAACGGAGAAACAAAATCGTTGAAGATCGCGCTTAAGATCACATATACCAAATTTGGTTAATACGAAATATTCATCAACTTAACACATTCGGTAGACTGTGTGTATGTATATCCTATTTTATAAAAAAGTAAAATTTGTTGTTTGTTAGATAGAACGGTAAGGCAAACGTCGAACGATGGAAAAGTGCAGAGAGAGAGAGAGAGAGAGAGGGAGTGAGGGAGGGAGAGAGGGAGAGAGGGAGAGAGAGGACTAGCTACTGTAACATGTTTTTCGTACATTTGCTAAAATCATACTGAAATCATCTTCAGCTTTAGTCGAATTCTCAATATTTTGTATATGTTGCTGCTGAGTTTGTTGTTGCATTTGTTGTTGCTGCTGTGGTTGAGGTTGCTGTTGGGTATGTGCCGAATGCTCCTGATATTTGCCAAGTGTTATACTACTTGCAGTATGATATTGTTCAATACCATGACCAATTCCCATATTAGTACACCGAGCATCTTTATTCTGTTCGTCGACGATGCAGTGAGAATTTGAAATATCGAATTGAGATTGTTGTTGTTGTTCCAAGTCGTAATAACGCAAGTCGCTTGCGTAATTGTGATTATTGTCCAATAAATTTTGAGATCTTAAATTAGAGTGACCAGCGCTCGTGGGATGGGTATACTTAAAATACTTTTCTAATTGCAAACTCTGTTGTTGCTGTTGCTGTTGTTGTTGATGTTGCTGTTGTTGTTGTTGTTGTTGTTGTTGTTGTTGTTGTTGTTGTTGTTGTTGTTGTTGTTGCTGCTGCTGCTGTTGTTGTGGTTGTTGTTGTTGTTGCTGTTGTTGATCTTCCTCAGTTGAAGTTGACATACCACTTGGATCTATGTGAGCAATAATTTGCTGTTGTTGTTGATCATGCGAAGAATTTGCATCAGTTTGATATTCCTGATGATGCTGAGACATTTGATATCTTGGACTGACACCTGTTAAAAATGCCAATGATATTATTTCAATATGGCTGCAATATATTTTTGGTGCTTCCTTCGAGATATATTGATTAAATATCGATTGAATTTATTTACCTGAGCAACTTTCTGTTGTCCCACGTATCCCCATAGTTTGTTGCCTGTTGCTACACTGTACTGAACTATAGTTGCTCTCAACAGTTGCCTGCATCGAATAGTTTGCTGATTTCGAGGACTGGCTACTTGCGTAATGTTGCAGGGATTGGTCGTGAGGAGAAGCAACGGGCGGATAAAACGTGCCGGTGACCGAACCAACGTTTTCGAAACCAGAACGAAGCTTGTTGCATGATACCATCATGCCATTTGCTATACCTACTGCTGCTATGCTGGACGTCTGCCTCTCGAAGTTTAAATAACTAATCTATAAATTTTGTAATACTTCTATATATTGGCAAACTATTATATAGAAAAATGGAGAAATGGAATTGAATGAAGGCCAGCATACATACCGATTTCTTATAAGTCAACGTGTCCGTATAATTGGCAGAATTTTGACAAGACGTAATGCTAGTGGCAACATTATGAGTTCCATGAACCTGATTGTCGGTACTTATAAAAGTGTATCGTTTCGTTTGATCGTTAACATCCCCATGTTGTTTCGAGGTCCCTTCCATTAAATCCCGTTCTGGATCAGGATTTTGCGTGGATGGTAGGTGCGTTCCGTCGCCTAATAATAATTGTACCAAACTTGTTTTCGGCTCATCAAACGAACGTTTAATACATGTGCTACGTTTCCTTAGACTATTTATTTATTTATATTTTATTATTATTAATTTAATTATTTTCAACGAGAGACTTCTAAATGAGCGAGAGAAGACATATCATTGACAAGAAAAAGATAAAATAGATAGGAAGAAGTGATATTATTAAGAACTTTGATTTACCGTCAGGCTCGGGACTAGCAACTGGTGATATGTCCGGTGTATGGATAATAGGCGTGTATGGACTACCATATAAAGAATTATTTTCCGATTTATATTCCTGAATACCCTGCTGCTGCTGATGCTGCTGCTGATGCTGCTGCTGCTGCTGCTGCTGCTGCTGCTG